CATGTCCAAAGGTCACTGGCAACACTGACATTTTTCTTATTCATGGTACCTGATCTATTAAAGGCATATCAGGTTTATGAGAACATTCTGAAAATACTTAAAATCATTTCCCTTGTTATGCCTTGTCTTGTTTATCCTACATACCAAAAAATTCTCATATTTACCCTTAAACTCCAAAACCAACACTTTATATTAGGTTTTCAAGTCATTCCAGGTGAACAGTTCTTGTGAGATTTTTAAATGGAGGGAAAATGTCTTTTATATTTATTCACATATTTACTACTTCTGGCATTCTTCATTGCTTTGAGTAATACCAACTGCCAATCTAGTATTGTTTTCCTTCTATCAAAAATAATTTCTTTTAACATTTTCTGTAATATACTTCTACTGGCAATAAGTTCTCTGAGATTTTGTCTCAAAAGGTTTTAATTTTACCCCATTTCCAAAAGGTATTTTTGTTAGGTAGAAAACTATAGGTTGACAGTTATTTTCTTCCTGGCTTTAAACTTTTTGTCATAAATTTGCATCAAATTAAAATTTACAGCCATTATTTCTTTCAATTTTTTTCATGTCCCCATTCTCTCACCTTTCCATTAAGGTACCCCAATTACAGGTCAGTAAAACCGCTTCATATTGTCATTCAGGTAACCAATATTCTGTTCACTTTTTTCCTATACATTTTTAATGATTCTATTGCTATGTCTTCAAGTTCACTGACATTTTATTCTGCAGTTTCCAATCTACTGGACATTCAGTGTTTCTCATTTCAGATACTATATTCTTCTTTTCTAAAAGTTCAGTTGGGGTCTTTCTTATATTTTCCAGTTTTCACACTATTATGTTCACATTTTCTTCTACCTTTTTAAACACATGGGAAATGTTTATAGTAGCTGTTTTAATGTACTTGCCGTCTATCTCCGCCACCTCTGTCATTTCTTGCTCTTTTCTGCTGACTGATTTTTCTTCCCTGGTTGTGGATTGCTATTTTCTTGCTCTTTCTATGCCTGGCAATCTTTAATCAGACAATGGACGCTGTCTGATTAAAAATCAGACAATCAGACAATTTTGTATTCTCTTGAATACAAAATTTTATTATATGCTTTTAAGTTGTGCTGAATTTTATTCTGGAATTTGTGGGCCGTATTTCCAAGATAGAGGCAGAGAACCCTTTAGTCTAAGGTGATACACTCTTTTATGAACTCTATCCAATGTGCTATATATTATGAGATCTGTCTACTCTGGCTCATGGAAAAATGAACTATTTGTGAGTTACAAAGAGTGCTTCACCTACTGCTTTCCAATGTTTATTTCTCCATTATGGAAGTTTCTTTTCATGCATGTGTAGATCAGTATTCAGGCAAAGCCTCACAGTAAGCTGTCTACAGATCTGAGCACTCTCTGTGCAGTTCCCACCACTCTGGCACTCTGCCCCACAAATTGTAGCTGCCCAGGCCTTCCTAAATACCTATCTCTGCATCCTCAACTCTGCAGGACATCAAGGTCTGTTTGGCTTCCTCCTTTCTGCTGCCTGTAAACTGCTTCTAGACAATAAGCTGTGGTAATTATAGGTCTCACTTCAGTGTCACAGTGACTTACACTGCCTGATGTCCAATATGTGAAAGCCACTGTTTCACATAATTTGTCCAATTTTCTAGTTGTCTAATTTCGAGTGTAAATTCGGTCCCTGTCATTCCACCATGGGCAGGACTTTGCATAGATAAATGTAATAAAAATGCATCATCCTCCAATTTTTTTCTTTTTCTTGAGACTGAGTCTCACTCTGTCGCCCAGGCTGGAGTGCAGTGGCATGATCTCTGCTCACTGCAAGCTCCGCAACCCGGGTTCACACCATTCTCCTGCCTCAGCCTCCCAAGTAGCTGGGACTACAGGCGCCCACCACCACGCCCGGCTAGGTTTTTTTTTTTGTATTTTTAGTAGAGACAGGGTTTCACCGTGTTAGCCAGGATAGTCTCGATCTCGTGACCTTGTGATCCGCCCGCCTCGGCCTCCCAAAGTGCTGGGATTACAGGCGTGAGACACCATGCCTGGCCTCCATTTTATTTATAAGAACAACTGACTGATTTTAGGGAAAAGGGGAAGTCACTATCTGAATTTTAACAAAACTGCTGCCTAACTGGTGACATGATTTTTTTTAATAGTAACAAAAAAAATAGATAATAAAGCCAGCAATATACCTCTTACATGTGGTTCTATGTATCTTGGTAAGATGAGTTTTTCAGGTAGGACTGATATTACAAACAAGTACTAAAAACTGATCTAAGACTCTTACAAAACTAGTTCACAAAGAATTAATCTGAGACTAGTATTTTTATTAGGCATAAACTGTTTGTGCAACATATTTTTAAAATTCTTAAGTAAGAAAAAAGAGTATAAAAAACTTCCATTTTGAAAGTAAAAAGAAAGATAAAGCTAGGAAAGTACATGACATATTCATGGACTAGAGAGACAGTGCTACATTTAGTAAACAAAAAGGGTGGAATATGGTATCAAAAATATAATCTGGGGGTCAGTTACTGGAGGGCCTTGAATTTAAACCTTTGATTTTTATCTGAAAACTGAAAGTCTTTTCAACAAATGGTGTTGGATCAACTAGACATTCACATGCCAAAAAAAAAAAAAAAAAAATGAATCCAGACAATGACAACTTTCACAAAAATTAATTCAAAATGAATCACAAACCTAAATGTAAAACACAAAACTATAAAATTCCTAGAAATTACACAGGAGAAAATCCAGATGGCCTTGAGTATGGCAATGACTTTTCAGATACACCACCAAAGTCATGATCCATAAAAGAAACCATTGATAAGCTTCAAATTTAAAACTTCTGCTCTGTGAAGAAAACACGCCACAGACTGGGAGAAAATATTTGCAGAAGAAATCTAATAAAGGACTGCTATCCAAAATATACAAATAAAGAAACTGAAGGAAAAAAAACCTGAATAAAAATGAACAAAAGACCAGAACACTTTACCAAAGATACACAAATGACAATTAAGCATACGAGAAGATATTCAACATCATATATCATTATGGAATTGCAATTGAAAACAAAAGTAAAATACCACTACACACCTATTAGAAAGGCCAAAATCCAAAACACTGAAAATACCAAATGCTGGCTAGAATGTAGAACAGAAATTCTCACTGATTACTGGGGGGAGTACAAAATGGTTCAGCCATATTGGAAGAAGTTTGGCAGTTGCACCTACAAAACTCAATATACTCGTCACATTATCAGGTAATCCCTCTCCTTGGTATTTACCCAAATGAATTGAAAATATGTCCACACAAAGACCTACACACATTTATAGCAGCTCCCCTTATAATTGCCAAAACTTAGAAGCAATCAAGATGTCCCTCAGTAAGTGGGTGGATTAATAAACTGTGGAATATAAAGACATTGAAATACTATTTAATGCTAACAACAAATGCCTCCCAAGCCATGAAAACATATGGAGAAATTTTAAAAGCATATAATTAAGTGAAAGACGCCAGTTTGAAAAGGTTACATGCTGTATGATTCCAACTATATGACACTCTGGAAAAGGCAAAGCTATGGAGTCATTAAAAAAATTAATGGTTGCCAAGGGTCGAAGGGAAAGACAGATGAATAGGTGAGTAAAGAAGGTTTTTAGGGTAGTAATGCTAATTCTGTATGATACTACAATGGTGGATACCAGACATTATACATTTGTCAAAACCCATAATAGGTACAGCACTAGGAGTGAACACTAAAGGAAACTATGGACTTTGAGTGATAAAGAAGTGTCAATGTAGGGAGGCTCACTGACTAACAAATACACCACTCTGGTACAGAATGTTAACGGTGGGAAAAATTGTGCCTGGGTGAAGAAAGGGAGTATACAGGAACTCTGTACTTTTGGCTCAATTTTGCTGTGAATCTAAAACTGCTCTAAAAAAAAATAGTCTCTCTAAAAAAATGATCCTGGACCGGGTGCAGAGGCTCACAACTGTAATCCCAGCACTTTTAGCAGGCCATGGTGGGCAGATCACGAGGTCAGGAGATCGAGACCAACCTGGCTAATATGGTGAAACCCCGTCTCTACTAAAAAATACAAAAAATTAGCCGGGTGTTCGTGATGGGTGCCTGTAGTCCCAGCCACTAGGGAGGCTGAGGCAGGAGAATGGCATGAACCCAGAAGGCGGAGCTTGCGGTGAGCCAAGATCACGCCACTGCACTCCAGCCTGGGCCAGAGAGTGAGACTCCGTCTCAAAAAAAAAAGATCCTGGCAACAACATGAAGTATGAAAGCCAGAAAAAGAGCTGAAGTGAGAGAAATCAAATAAGAGGATACAGTACTTTAGGCAAGAAACAAGGATGGATTAGACTACAACACTGGGAGAAGAAACAAAAGCATTCTAAAACAGTATTCAAGTTTCCTGATGTATATAAACTAATCTACTAATGACAATCACTGCATATCTTTATGTACAATGAGAAGGACTTATTTTCTCCAATTTCACAACAAACCAATAAGGTTTTTAGTAAAATACATATGGCACCCTGGAATAACTTTCCAGGTGTACATTATGACAAACACATGCAGTGAGATTAAATAATATGTAATTAATTATTTCCATGCTTAAGTAGGAACTGGGTCTTCAACCTTCTAAGGAATTTTTTTAAAAACTGAAACACTATAAAAATAATAAAAGCATAGTTATTTAATTCTTAGTTTTCTTACAGTTTGTTAAATAACTATGAATAAAGACAACATCCTACTAAAGTAATAGTTTAATTTTTTAATGGATGTAAATTGTTATCTGTTTGAGAAAGCATAATTTTGTACCAATCTTAAATGAACTACTCCCTCCTAGAAAACTCCAAGCATTGTAAAATAAATACTGAATACCTGTTAAAAATCAGTCTAAATGACTCAGTGTGGAGAAACAGATCTCTTTAAAATGACAATAAAAGAAATATTTGTCTTTTTGAAAGTTGAAAATTAGCCTCACCCTTTTCTTCAGGCTTTAAAGAAAAATACTTCTTCTCTGCAGCTATCATTTCAGGCTTTGGAGCTATGGGAAAAAACATTAATACTTTTGTAAGAAGATTGTTTTAAAGCACAGAGACAATTACACTTCTAAAAAGTAAAGATGCATTGAAAAATAACATCAGAAAAAACCATGGTTTAACAGAAAGAACAATGTACCAGAATCACCAGGCTCAATTTCTAATCCTGGACCTGCCACTATTACCCTACTCTGTGGTCTCAGTTCCTTTTTTGTCAAATTGAGGTGTTAGAGATCATATCCTCTACAATACTGCAGTCCAGAAGGGCTGTGGTGATGAAAACATTCTTTTTTCAGTAGCCAACATGTGACCACTGAGCACTTGAAATGGCACTCTTATGACTGAGAAACCGAATTTTTTAAATTTTATTTAATTTTAATTAATTTCAAAAGCCACACATGGTTAGTGGCTACCATATTGCAGAGTAAAGCTATATAATAAACTTTCAACACCAACGTCTAAAAAAATTACTTTTAACTTATGCTTTCTTTGCTCTAGGATTATGTCAGCAAACATAAAGTTAAAACCAAGGGGGAGAAAAAGACTTGGATTATTCTAAAAAACAGCAAATCTTTTAGGAAATAGAAATTTTTATTACACTTGTAAAGAGCAGTTATTTGAAAATAGTAGTTATGGAAGCAAAGAGCTAGATTACAAAACTTTAGCTCTTGAAGACACTTCTCGGTATACCATAATTTATTCATCTGTTTAAAATCATCTACTTCATTTAACCTTCAGCATATTGTCTGAAAGAGTACGTAAATTATTATTTGAGACATTAACAAATGGATTTCATTTGAAAAGGTAAAATAACGAATTGGCCAGGTCAATATATTAAGTTTTCTAAGACAGTTTAAATTTGATTAATTTTATTAACTCAAAATTACATATAAAGTATCTACATTTTCAAGATCCTTATTTTATACCATTTGTACTTTTAAAAAATGACAGACACTGATGCATGTGAACACTCAATTTTCATATATTTCTGAAAATGTTTACAGACAACATCATACTTGATAAAAATTAAGTTTGCATTAGATCCAATTTTACCATTTTAGAATTTTAAAAAATTGAAAATAGCAAACTGAATAATGTGTTTCTTACATACCTGGAGCCTTAGCAGGAGGTGGTGGTTTCTTTGGTTTCTGTTAAAATAATAATGGTGGAAACGGTTGACCAGTTTCATATTGAATATAGTTAAACTCTAATTAGTAATAATCTAAATCATACAAATGTCTCTCCTCTTCATTCCGTCCTTGCCAAAAATTATAAAATGCTAAGATTGTAAAAACTACCCAAAAAAACCAATGACAACAAATTATTTCATTAGAATAAAGAGCCTCATTGATCAAAATTCAGTCAAATATTTCAATCCATATTTCAGTGGATTGAATAAGCCTTAAAAATCTTAATAAGCAAAAATGTTTTGCTCTGCCTCCCCTAGGTTAAGATTCCTAAGTACCATTTTATCCCTCTTTTGCAGCTGGGGTTGTGGGGAGAGGAGGACTGGCAGAACAAAAAAACCTTGTTTTTTGTTTCGTTTTGTTTTGTTTTTTAAAAAGCAGAGTAGCAACAAATAGACTAAGTTTTCATTCTTAACCCTTTGGAACTCTCAAAGGAACAGTTAAAGGCAAAGATATGTTTTTTCTCAATTTATAAACATTCACTCATTTTTAAGACTTAATACCTTAAAATATTGAGATACATTTCTAAGTATGTGGACTTGGTTTTCACAAATTAAGAATAATCGATAAGCCATAATGTACAAACATAATAAAAGCAGAAAAAATGTATTCTTTAGTGAAAGTATAAAATAAAGCATATGAAGGCTGAATCAATACTGAATGCAATCAAACAAAAGAAAGGCCTCAGATAGCCTAAGCTTCCATAGAGTTAGAGAGTTCAGCATTGTCTTAAACCTAACCTGGTAGCCCATCCTGCTGTGTGCTTGTGCTAATGCTCTTTCCCTCTATTTTAAAAACTCCATTATATTCCTCATCCATGGGGAAAGGGGACCAAGTTGTAGGAAGGCAAAGACCACTGATGAATGACTCAGCCTCTCTTTTTCTCTGAGAAGTGATACTAAAATAAATTCTGTTAAAGAGGCAAAGAGTGCTTCTTGCCCTCCCAAAAAAATGCACCAACAGCATATTAGCAATTCCACAAGACCTTAAAATAAACTAAAGCTTTTCAACAACATTAAATAAAATATAATTTCTTCCAGGAAAGTACTAATTTATGTTACCAGGATAGACCGTCCTTCTTAAATTATAAAATAAAGAAGTCCAAGGTTATTTTTCAGCACAGTCGAGAAAGAAACAAAGGAAGAATAAAGTACGGAACTGAAACATCATTTTGTTTTACTATAACTCAAATAACTCCTACCTGAATAGCTACATCTGAAACTCCTTCATAAAAATTATTCAATAACAATGCAAAAAAACTTGTTTACAAAAGATTAGTGGCAAAATGTTCTTTCAAGTATTATCATCATTGAAAAACAAAAGCTTACTGGCAAGTCTTTATCGAGTTCATTTATCTGGACAGCAAAATTGTCTGGAAATACTCCTTCTTTACCATTAAGTTCACCTTTCCACCAGCCAGCTTCTCCAGTCTCCTAAACAGCAAAATAGAATAATTAAGACAATAAAAGTTATCTTTTTTTTTTTTTAGATAAGGTGTTGCTCTGTTGGCCAGGATGGAGTGTAGTGATGCAATCATGACTCACTGCAGCCTCAATCTCCTGGGCTCAAGTGATCCTCCCAAGTCAGCCTCCCAAGTGGCTGGGACCACAGGCATGCAACCATAAACTTCTGGGCTCAAATGATCCTCTTGATTTGGTCTCCCAAAGTGCTGGAATTACAGGCATGAGCCACTGTGCCCAGCTGCAACTAAACAGATGACACTGTCCTTCTAGTATATTTCCCATGTACTACTTTTAGCAGTAGTTACAAAATTGGGTTTAATTTAAAAAAAGAAAAAAATCTATTTTAAAATTCCATCTATAACATTAAAAGGTTCTCAGAGAAAAGAGGAGAAAGATAAAATAAGGCCGGGCATGGTGGCTCACACCTGTAATCGCAGCATTTTGGGAGGCTGAGGTGGGTGGAACACCTGAGGTCAGGAGTTTGAGACCAGCCTGACGAACAAGGTGAAACCCCATCTCTACCAAAAATACAAACATTAGCCGGGCATCGTGACAGGCACCTGTAGTCCCAGCTACTTGGGAGGCTGAGACAGGAGAATTGCTTGAACTCGGGAGGCGGAAGTTGCAGTGAGCCGAGATCACACCACTGCACCCCAGTCTGGGTGACAGAGTGAGACTCCATCTCAAAAAAAAAAGATACAATGAAAGGAAGTGGAAAAGAGACGAAGGTGGAGAGGGAGAATATGAATTTCCAAACTGTATCTTTCTTAACATTCTTAACACTTTATATACTAAATATTAATCATATTATTCAGCTGCTTTAAAAATTAACGAGATTTGACCAGGCACAGTGGATCATGCTTTGTAATCCCAGCAACTTCAGAGGCTGATGTGGGAAGATCGCTTGATGCCAGGAGTTTGCAAGACCACCCTGGGCAACATAGCAAGACCCTGTTTCTACAAAAAAAATTTGAAAAAAAAAAAATTATTCAGGCACAATGGGATGCAACTGTAGTCCCAGTTACTTGAGAGGCTAAGGCAGGAGGATCACTTGTGCCCATGAGCTCAAGGCTGCAGTGAGCTATGATCACACCACTGCACACCAGCCTGGGCGACAAAGCAAGACCTTGTCTTTAAATTTTTTTCTTTTTAAATTAACAAGACTTTCTAAGTTTCTTCTAAATATTCACCACCCTTGCATGAAAAATTAGGTGTAATCAGTGCAAATTACATTAATATGAAAATTTACATACATTTATAAAATTCTTGCTAAATGATTTTATCTGCAGTTGCCACTAAAACAAAAAAGGTAATTATGTGAGATGAAAGATATGTCAATTTGCTTCACTATAATAACCTTTTTACTACTATGTATCCTATAACATCATTATCCTTTAAGTATACACAATAAAAATCATTTTAAAAAACAATTATATACACTATGCCATCTTATAACAAAGTCAATGTAAAACAATGGGGCCAGGTGTGATAGCTCACACCTGTAATCTCAGCACTCTGGGAGGCCAAAGCAAAAGGAATGCTTGAGCTCAAGAGTTCGAGAACAGCCTGGACAACATAGCAAGACTCCATCTCTACTTTAAAAAGGTGTGTGTGGGCAGGGGAATTTCAAAAATTATTCTACAGGATTATAGCAAAAACCAAATATTTGTAATTTTCCCATAATATAGTTAATATAGGATTCTGCCCACACAAAAGTACTACTGGGTTTTCTCTTTATTTTGCATTAGGATTTATTCCAAGTTATAAAATCACTTCAATTTTTAAAATGGTGACATCATTTTCCAGAATATAAAGAGTTTCAGAACCATTTCCATACTGACGGACATTTAGCTTGTTTCCCTATTTTTCTTCTTCTGTTTATATTACAAACAACAATCCAAACGGTAGATAGGAGAAAAAATAGAATAAAGTGGAAGAGAAGAAAGAATAAAAATCTGGGAAGTTGAGGTTAATTTAAAAAAAAAAAAAAGTAATTACTTTAAAAAAAAAAAAAGCAAATATGATGGTTAACAATAATTCCCAATATATAAATTATAACAAATATAGTCAATAAAAGTTGGCTCAAAAAGAGAATGTTCTGAGCACTTATCACATGCCAAGTTTTCAGGACTTAGAAACAAGACAAAATCCCAGCTCTTCTAGATTCCAGGGTGAATATAAGAACATTCTAGGGTGAATGTATAACTTCTGAGAAATATTTCTATAAATAATTCACTGAAAAACAGAAATATCTTACCTTACTTATCAAATGGATTATCTCCCCCTCTTTAAAAGTAAGTTCATCTTCATTAGTACCTTCATAGGCAAATAATGTTCTACAATATTCTTTAGCTGAAATAAAGAATGTAAATAATGTGGCTCACACAAATGGATTCATTCAACAAATACTTATTTATTAAGCCTCTATCTTGCGTAAAGTATACTAAAAGTTATTAAAGATGAATTTAATAATCTATCTTTAAATTTTAAAATACTTATAGTCAATACCATATGTTAAGTAACAACTTCATTAATCATTCATTCAAATATTTACTAAGTGTTTGTGATGTTCCAGACACAGATTCAACTACAAGGAGATACATCCATCAACCAACAAAGTACATCAAAATCCTTGACCTTGTGGTGCTTACATCTAATAGAATTTGCTATTCTAATAAAGCAGTGTAACAAATGCTTCCAACAAGTCTCATGACACATTTGAGTATGTTTCTACTATTCCCAATGTGGAAGTTTTATTCAAATACATACCTTTAATTTTACCTTCACTATCTGTTTTTGTTATCTCCATACTCTGCGTTTTGGATCCCAGTGACGGCAGGATTAAGGGCTGGAATAGAAAAAAAAATGGCATAAACTATTTTAAGATAGAATAAAGATAATACTGTTAAAAAAAGTTTCCATTTACAGTTGCCTAGTTTTCCCTAATGGTCCTTATAGCTAAGATAGTAATGTGACTGAAAAATCAGCAATGAAACAGGTAAAGGTCTCCAAAGTTCCTTAAATCATAGCTCAGAGCTAAGATTCCTTATCTAAAAGATAATAATCTCTGATGCCCATAGTATATTAATGAGATTTAATTTTAGAATCTCTAAATAAGAGGCTAGGCACCGGTGGTTCATGCCTGAATCCCAACACTTAGGGAGGCCAAGGCAGGAGAACTGCTTGAAACCAGGAGTTCAAGGTTGTGAGTGAGTTATGATTATACCACTGCATTCCAGCCTGGATGACAAGGTGAGACACTATCTTTACAAAATACAATAAATCAAATACAATAAATAAGAACAACAGCACTTGAAAAGTTAAATCCCTGGGCTAAACACTTTGTATAAATAGTGCATATAGGACTAACAGCCTCATAACTATCTGCATTAAGTGGGCACTATTTACACAATAATATAAATTTATATAAGTAATCTGTCCATAGTAAAAGGAATTTAGTCGCAGAGCCCAGGTTTTAACCCAGAACTAAACCTTAAACTGAAAGAGGAGAAAAAAAATTATTTACACTTCATTGCTGTCTGAATGTAAATGATTCAGGTACTCTTATGTTCCTCATAACTACAGTCTACTAGACATTTGTGCATTGTAATTTGTAAAGGACTAAGTCCTTTACCACCTTATACTAGTGTTTCCTTAAGTTCTCTACCCAGAAACAACAGTACATTTAACCTTAGATGTCAATACTTAAAAATCTGAACACACTGCTAACTTACTACCTACCACTGTGTTTTCTGTTTATCTTCTAAGATACTTAACTTTAGTTTTCCCCAACTCTAACCACCATATTTTCTAATCTGGTGTACCTACAAACACAGCAAATGTGCTCCCTACTTTATCAATTCCTGGATCAGTGATCAAAGCAAGCCTGACAAGACCATTATATAGGGTAACCCTGAGACTACAGTCACTAATAACAACTCTTGAGTAGTGGACATTATCAAGGATGATTAAAAGATAATGTGATCATTAATCAATAAAGTTATTCAATATAATCACAAGCTTTAGAATTGGAAGGAGCACAAGATCATCTAAAAGGAGCACAAGATCATCTAGTCTAATTTCTATCACAATGCAAGAACTGCTTGTCCAACATTCCTAGCTGTTATATAGCTATAGAGCACCGCCCCAAAAACCATGAGAATTCCAAACTTTACCTTTAAAACCAAGAATCAATTTGACCCCATAATCCTAATGCCAGATAGTCTCAGAGCTAGGAATGTGTAGGATAGAAAGTGGAAGTTCTGTTTTCTGAACCCAACTCTTCACTGTTTCATAAGAAAATAGGTAGCAAGTTAGGAAAGGAAAAAAAAAGTTGAAAGCACCTATCTTAGGAGGAAACTTCATAGTATCTCAATAACCAAAACACAGTCTTTAAATGAGATGTAGCTACATGAATCAAATAAATACTGTGACACTTTAAATTCTTCAGAGTTAAAGAGATAGGACAGAAGGAACTGTGAAAAAATGCTCTACAGACTGTAGCTATTTTACCACCAAAATAACAGCTTAAGGTTTTATTTTAAACCTTCTTTTTAGTTCTTATAATTTATGGTTCATTTACTTTGTTTCATTTCACAATGCCAGCAAAATGCTAATGAAATAAAATTCTCCACACATTCAAAGAAGGTTAGTAAATTTAACAAATGTTGACAATCTAGAGGAAATTTAAGTAGTGCCAAAATATAAAGTAATTTAATACTTTCTAAATCCATTTTAAAACAGTCCATTTTAGGTCTAATTCAAATTAAATATATATTTATTATATACAAAACTAAATTTATATATGGTAGCTTTTAAAAGGCAAAAAAAAACTTTCTAATTTTTATTTACACTGTGATAACTAAAAACCCTAAAGCTTCTACTAAGTGTGTTAAATTTACCAAGAAATAAGCATTCTAATTTTATCAGATTCAACCATGAATATCAATCATTGTAAATATGGAGACAAAATTTCTCAGTCTCCTCATTCATAACCAAATTATTAGTGATCTCAAAAAAAAGAAATCGAACAGAGTTACAAACTGACTTTTACATTTTAAAAATGCTTAATGAGAGAATGAGTGGAGTTAATCTAACTTAAGTCCATCATTACCACCTTTTCTGGTTTTTTCTCTTCTGTTTCACTACTGGATGTTCTTGTCCGAAGTTTCACAGAGCCTTCTTTAAAAATGTCTCCAAATCCAATTCCTCGAATTTTCTTTGGCTGTGTAACTGATCCAGGTGCAGTTTCACTCCCATTTCCCGGAGAAGGTAAAGGTGAAGTAGGCCCACCCAAAACAGTTTCTGAAACAATAATTTGTTTTTGAAGAATGACACCTCGAATCACAAAACGTTTCCCATCCTGTCATAATGTCTACATTCTATATGCTTTCTAATAAAACACAGTAAAATTTAAAAAAGCAAAAACAAAAAAACCTCAAATGATTCAGTACTGAAATATTCAGAAGAGCAAGATGCAATTCATGCAGTTTACACATACTTTTTTATTGTGCAAAATAATAATAATTTTAGGTAAATTTAATTAGTAAAATTAAGAAATCCTAATTAGGAAATCATGTCATACGAGGTCCTTAAAAACAGGATGTCAATGTATAGCTTTTGGCCAAAGATGATACAATGTGAGACAAACAATAAAGAGATAAGATTATTTTTTAAAGCTATATGATCCAATCCAATCAAAATTAGCATGAGTTTCTGAATATAAAAACTGGGAATGTTTATTTTAAAAAGGTCAATAGTTCATAACCTGTTCTTTTAGTTCAGAGACTAGGTAACAGGTCTAATTTTAAAGCATTCAATGGAAACCATTACTATATAATAAAAAATTGTTAAGTTTAATATTATGTGGGTAAGAACGTTTTTACATTCTTGCTCAGCAACAAGGGTTCTTATGTATAGGCTCAGTAAGTCCATGAATAACCCTATGGAAAACTGTGTGGTTATTTTTATGTACATTTTTCTGGGTAAAACAGGTACAGCTTTCATGAGATCCTCAAAGAGCCTTATAATCTAAGTAAGAAACAAAGTTCTAGAGTAAAAATCCAGAAACATTGAAGACTGGGGGTATAGGGTAAGGAAAAATATGTAGTGACAGTTCACTGAACTGAGGTAGTCTGTTGAAAAATAACAGAACAACAGGGACAATAAAAATAGTAGTTACCGTTTATTCAGAGCTAATTCTGTACCAGGCACTTGGCTAAGCACTGCATATGAATTATCTCATTTTTATAAGCCCACATGAGCTTCTTAACATTAAGCACTATTACTTCTCATTTTACAAATAAATAAACTTGGACAAAGGGATATTAATGACTTTCCCAGGGACCTACAGGTAGTAACAAAGTCAATTTTTGAAGTGAATTTAGATGACCCCAAAACCACAGTCTTAAACAATTCAATATAATGGCTCAGACCACAAAGTCTCCAATCAAATGTGAGAATATCTTTCTGCATTGATCGAAATGACCATTTTACAGGTGATTTGCGAAAACAAGTTATTAACTTAAAAAATATAATGCTAACAAGTATAGTCATCTACACTAACCATTTTCAATATTATCCTAAGTAGAATAGAAGACTGAAGTGGAGAAGATAGTTTCGTAACATATTTTTAAAATTCAACCTCATTGAGAGAATGTTTACAATCAATAAAATGAACCTGTTTTAAATACACATTTCAGTAATATTTGACAAATGTCGCACCATGTAAACACAGCAAGATACAGAACAATTCGTCACACAACACTCGCACACCATCAGAGTCGATCCTTCCCCCAAACCTCAAGAAACCTCTGAACTTCACTGTCACTATACATTTGCCCTTTTTCAAATAAATTATAATCATATAGTACATAAACTTTTTACATCTACTTCTTTGGCTACACAGAATACATGAGGTTCATCCATGCTGTTGCATGTATCCACGCTTCATTCCTTCTTATTGCTGATTAGTATCCCATTGTACAGATATGCTACTATGTATCTACCATTAAGAATGTAGCTCCAGGTTTTTCACAGATGAGCTTTATAAAATTTAGAAAACTCCCTTCTATGCTACTATGTAGCGTTTTCATCATTAAGAACTGAATATGTAAATTCTCTTTCTGCATCTCGTGAAATGACCATATGGTTGTGCCCCTGTAAACTGTTAACACTGTGAATTATATAAACTTTTTAAACCAGCCTTGCATGGATGGAACAGACCCCATTAGTATCATGATGTACTAACCTTTACATATTTTGCTGAGTTTGACGTAACCTTTACATATTTTGCTGAATTTGATGGAATACTTCAAAGATTTCTGTGTCTGTGTTCATGAGAGATAATAATATGTAGTTCCTTTTTTTCAAATTACTTCATGAGGGTTTGATATCAAGGTCATACAGACCTAAGAAATCTGAAAGAATCTGTGTAAGATCAAATGCTTGATAGCATCAGTGAAAATCATCTTGGCTAGAAATTTTCCTTATGTGAAGATTTTTTTATATTAAATACAATTTATTTCACATAGATTATTTAGAATTTCTATTTCTTCTATGTCTGCTCTGGTTAATTATGCTTTTACAAGGGTTTGCATATCTCATCTAAGTTGTCAAATTTATGAGCATATTTCCGTATTACACTTTTAATTGTCAGGTCTGTGATATCCCTTCACATCTGAAAATAGTAATTTTTGTTTTTCTCTTTTCTCTTTGATCGGTCTTGTTAAGGTATTACCAATTTTTTTTTTTTTTTAAATCATTTCACAACACTCAACTTTTGAACTTGATTTTCTTGTCTGTTGGTCTGTTTTTTATTTCAGAACTGCTCTTATTTCCTTTCTTCTAATCATTTCAGGTTTAATTTGCTCTCCCTTTTCTTGTTTAAGGTATCTCTTCTATTATTCAAGCATTTAAAGCTATAAATTTCCCTACAGATGTTGCTTTACCTGCATTCCACAAATTCTGATATGTTGTGTTTCACTTTCATTTACATCAAAAACTGTTCTAATGTCCCTTATAATTTCTTCTTTAATTCGTGGGTTATTTACAAGTGTTGTTCAAGTATCTGAGAATTTCCCAAATATCTTGGTGTTTCACAAATAATTCCACTGTGGTCACAAAACCTGTACCGTTCAATGCCAATCCTTTTAAATTTGATGAGACTTGTCTGATGCCCCAACATAGGGTCTATCTCATGCATATTCCAAGTAAACTTCAAAAGTGTACTTCAAAAAGTACTTTCAAAAGTACTTCAGAAAGTACTCTGTTGTTGAACTATTCTGTAAACGTCATTTGGGTCCACTTAATTAAGAATGTTACTCAGTTCAAGTCTTCTAAATATGAATTTTGCTCATTTTTTTGTTCATTAGTTCTATCAATTATTGAGAGATACATGTTTAAATCTTTTCATTCTTTTCATGGATTTATCTATTTCTTTCAGTTCTGGAAGTTTGTATCTCATGTACTTTGAAGTTCTATTGTTGAGTTATATATTTAGAATTGCTATTAATTTTTATGAATTAGCTCCATCACTATGAAATGTCCTTTTTATTCCGTGGTAATATTTTCTTTCCTGAAATATACTTTGATATTAATATAGTCATTCTAAATTTATTATGCTTTGCACAGAACATCTTTTTCTATCCTTCTTTTAATATGTCAGTGAATTTTTGTATCATCCAGGCTGACAATTTTGGTCTTTCAATTGAAGTTTTTGGACCATTTACATTTAACATAACCACTGATGTAGTTATGTTTAAATCCATTATCTTGCTATTTGTTTTCTTCTATTTACCCACTTGATATTTCTTCCTTTTTTCTCATTTCCAGTAGCATTTCTTAGTATTCCATTTTACTATTAACTTATTAGCTATACCTCTGCTACAGTCTGAATGTATGTGTCCCTCTAAAATTCATTATGTTAGAACCTAAGACCCAATATGGTAGTATTAGGAGGTGATTAGACCATGAGGCTCGAGCGAGTGAGATCATCCCTCTCCCTCTTCTGCCAGGGGAAGACACGGCATTCATCCCCTTTGGAGAACACAGAAACAAGGCACTATCTTCAAAGCAGAGACCAGGCAGGCCCCATCAGACACTGAACCTGCTAGTGCCTAGATGAGGGGACTTCTCAAACTCCAGAACTGTGAGAAAGAGTTTTTGTTTTTAACAAATTACCCAGTCTTGGGCATTATGTTACAGCAGCATGAACTAAGACAACTTCAATGTCTTGTTTTCTGAGGTGCTGCTCTAGGCTTTAAAACCTAATTGCCCCTCAGTACCCATTGGAGATTGTCTTGTGATTTATACAGTTTCTGAAGATAATCTGCAGAATTCTTACCTCATTTATTTGATGTGGCTTTTCTCCTGTGGTCCCTTCTAAGGTTTTTGCTTTGTTGCTTGCATTCAGCACATGATTACGATCTGCCAAGCTTTGTTTATACTCTTGCATTTGTGGGTTTATAACTTGCATCAAATTTGGAAAATTTTTAGCATTATTCCTTCAAACATTTTTTCATCCACCCTCTCTTCTCCCCTTCTGAGACTCCAGCTACACATATTAGATCATTTAAAATTATCCCAGGCAGGTGCAGTGGCTCACGCCTCTAATCCCAGCACTTTGGGAGGCTGAGACAAGTGGATCACTTGAGGTCAGGAGTTAGAGACCAACTTGGCCAACATAGTGAAACCCCATCTCTACCAAAAAATAGAAAAATTAGTCAGGCGTGGCAGCACACACCTGTAGTCCCAGCTGCTCGGGAGGCTGAGGTGGGAGAATCACTTGAACCCAGGAGGCGGAGGTTGCAGTGAGTGGAGATCACTCCAGTAGAAACTGCACCACTGCACTCCAGCCTTGGCAACAGAGTGAGACTCTGTCTCAAAACTAAAAATATCCCAAGTTGCTAGAGTTTTTGAAGTTTTAGTCTTTTTGCTCTTTCCACTTCATTTTGCATATATTCTATTGTCACATTTTCAAATTCAATGATCTTTTCCTCTACATTGTCTAGTCTTCTGTTAAAATTTCACAGGAAGAAATTCACTTCAGATGTGTTTTTCATCTCTAGTAGTTCCATTTTGTCCTTTTAAATCCCATCTCTGGTGGTTCCACTTAGCTCTTTTTATGTCTTCTACTTACTACTCATTATATTAACATTTTCCATTACAATCTTGAGCATATTAGGCATTTCTATTATAGTTATTTTAATATCTACTAATTCCATCATTTCTGGGTCTCTTTCTACCAACTAGTTTTTCCTCCAGATTATGGGTCACATGTTCCTGCCTTTTGGTTTTTTTCTTTT